AGGCAGCGGCGGCAGCGCCGGGCACCACCAGGGCCTCCTGAGCTCCCAACGAGTGCGTGAGGTGCTAGAGTGATGAATTTTTGGAAAAAGGGAGCAACCAAGAGAAGCTTTTCTAAGTGTTCCGCTTCTGGAGTTTAGAAAAAAGAAACAAATAACAGAAACACGATGCTATTCAAAGCAAACAAAGCATGTTGCTACTTATATCTTAATCTGAGAGAAACTGTACTTGGTATTTTTGAACGCCTAAAAACTACTCACATTTTGAAATTCTAAGTATCTTCAACAGATATGTTAAAAAAGGAATCATAGGACTGAAGCAGAGTGCTTGTTAAATAAAAAAGTTTTCTCTAAGCAAGTCGATGCTATTTATTTTGTGTATTCGTACTTCACACAAAGAAAGAAATATACTTGCAATTAAAAGCTGCTATAAGATCATTAAAAAGCTGCTATAAAGATCATTAAAAGCTGCTATAAGTTTGCTTCTATATCCATTTCAAATCCAAGCTGTCTGAAAAACACCATTCATATTTTATCTTTCAAATAATAATCAGAGCTGAAACAAACCTTTCCGTAGCTGGTTAACTTCTCAGCTCCTAAAATCTGGACACAAACCCTGCCCAGATCATGAGCAAAAGCTGATTTGTATTTATCCCCCGCCCAGGTTCATTCTTTCCATAATTCCCCGTCTTTGCACACAGCGGTTGCTGCAGTTGGACAGCGCCGCTGCGGTGGACGGCTGTGCGGGGGGCCCTGGCACACCCCCAGCAGCTCCCTGGCAGCTGCTCCTGGCCCTTGCTTGACAGGATGGCTCTGGAAGGTGCCTGGTAACTTCTGCAGAAGAACCTAATTCTGCCTTATTTCAGCACAGTCTGATTCCAAAAGGAATAGTTGGAGTTAATATAGTACTGAAATAAAACAGTTTAAGTTATAAAGAGGAATCTACCCCAAATCAATCTTTTATTTTTAACTGTATAAAGCTTAGAACAGAAGTGAGAGAAGGGATTCATTCATAGGGTGCACAATAAAAATGCTTCTGCTTTGATAACTTTTTTTTTTTCTCTTAATCATTTGTCTTTTGTTCCCAACAGATGTCTCTGTATGAGGCACTGTGAGGAAAAATAAACTGATTTAGCCAATGGAAGGCACAGTGCCCGCCTGACCACTTGTGCTTCTCTTGGACTGACTACCTGTTGGATTAATGACCCTCCCAAAGCCTGGCTTTACTGTGTCAGCACTGATGGCCCACACACCTAGATGAGAGTTTTAATCCACTTAAATGCAGGCACGCACACACACACACACACACACATACACACACCACAGCACTCCACATCACAAGGGTTGAAACCGCAGCTTATGGGCACAAGGCCAGGCTGGATACCCGCAGCAGGGCCTAGGCGCTGCTCAAGGTGAACTCCGACGAGCAGCAACGCACAGCAGAACAGCCTGCACTTCATCACTCCACCTCCGAGCAGGGACCCCGGGACACAAGTGACCTGGCGACACTTGTGGGCATGTGGAATTGCTCTTCGGGATGGTGCTGCCATTTTACCTTGTTTTGACCATAAAATTGCATGTCAGTGTTTTGACCACATCAATCAGATGGGACAAACACAGACAAACCCTAACTGAAGGGCAGGCAAGGCAACGCGCTGTAGAGGTCGTAATTTTAAAAATCCATTCAAGCTGGGCTTGACTTGGTCTTTTAAGCAAACAACTATTTGTTGTATTTCTTCACCTGATAATCCGAGAAGGATTTCTGGAGCTGAGATCCACCCATGTGAAATAAACGCAGGGGAGGATCAAGAGTCTCCCTCAGAGACAGGAGGAAGCAGACTCTGCAATATTTAGACTCAAATAACGGCCTCTTTTTTATTATTTCTAAGAAAAAAGATTAACAAAATTCATCTTCATCTGGGTCCTTCTAATCTACTGTATTTGATTTTGTTTTGAAAAGAGTTATTTTCCTTCCATCTCCCCGCCTTGCTGTGGCTGGTATGCTAGAATTTGGGAGCGCCTTCCTCTTATCCTTTGTGCACATCAGGAAGGAAGGAAGGATTTTATTTATTTCCTTCAGGGGTTTTTTACAATTTTATCTGCAAATAACCCTGATTTAAGTGGAGAAGAATCTTGGATTTGTCCTTTCAGCTTTGGTGGCACCTTTGGAAGCACTAGGTGTTACAGTGTGAACAAGGGTGAAGGGGAGAAGCACTGCTCAGCTCCACCCGCCCAAGGGCTAAATCCAACTGTTACTTTGCTGCTTGTTTGTTTTCGCTTAGGATTCTCCGGAAGGGACGGTGTTGTCTGTTTTTGTCACGGATACATTTCTGGCGCACAAGATGGAGTCTGCAGCGCTTGCTTGAGCTCAGCCTCCCCGCGCGTAGCTCAGCCGGCGCCTCACGGACGCTCCCCGCCACCGCGCGGTTCCACTGCACCAGGTCAGGGCATCAGCTCCTGCGAACTCCAGATTTGCTACTGCTTGGTAACCCTTTTACTGGATCAGAAATATAAAATGTTATGAATATTTGTACATTATCTTTCCTTGTGAGGTATGACATGAATATACGCATTATTCGGTTATGTGTAGATTTCATTTTTCCAGTAGAGTTTGTCAAAATATGTTTTTTTTCTTCAAAGTGTCCATTTTTCTCTTTATAAAGTCCATACAGTTATTACAGGAAGCTGTAATAACTGTGCTAAATTCAATTTCCTTTTTCAGAAACATAGTTATCATAAACTATCGTAACATAATAAGCTCTTCAACAGCCAGAACATTTCAAGTTAGTTTTATACTTCCTAAAACATTACGTGTGTTAGTGTGCACACACAAACAGAGCCACCTACCATATATATTTTACTTTCTCTGATGTAATCACTTAGTACACTGTGGTCTACCACTACTAGGCCATTCATCACCACCCAAGCATAAATACTTAATTAAATGCACATGACAAAACATTATTTCTAGATTCACAGTATTCTATCAGCAGGCATGCAGAGAAGTGACCATCTCCGCAAGTTACAATGAGTTTATCATCTTGCTAAATAAGCATTGCAAACAACTAACAAACACCAGACAGGACACTTAATCCTTTAATTACCTCTTTTTAAACAAACAAACAAAAACACATTTACAGCAGAGTCCAATCAAAACAAATCCTACTTTAAACCTGTTCTTGATAGGAATGCTTCTTAAAATACAAAATAAAGACGGAAGTAAAGCAAAATACAGTGAAATGTTGAATACAGTCATAGGGAAAATCAGTTACCCACTTTCAGGAATGTAAAACTACAAAAGAGTTGATTTTACTTTTCTTCCTGCAAAATATGTTGCTCCACGTTCCCACTGGGGAACAGTCTAGCAAAATATCCATAAAATGTGGAAACACTGGGAAAAGAAAACTGGGAAAAGGTGTTGATGGGTCCTTTTGAAGACAGGTGATTTTTTGTGGGTTTTGTTTGTTTTGGTGGGATTTCAATATACTCTGGAAATATTTTGACTGGAAAATATAAAATTGTAAATACAAAATGTTTAAATCTAGAAACAAGATATTTTTAGCTGTTCTGGTAAAGGTTGGACAAGGGCAGCAAAGGCCATGAAAAACATGGAATGCCTTCCATATAGGAAGCACCTAGGTACACCAGGACTCTTTGGCCAGGAAAGCAGACAAGCAGAGACCTATAAAACCTTGAGAAGCACAAAACATACATAGGAAATGACCATTCACTGCTTCTCCCAAATAAACTGAGCCAAGTTCAGGACTAAAAAAGGAGCAATTATTCATGCAAAATGAAGCTAGCAAGTGCCATTCTTTGCCCTACATGTTTTTCCTCAACAAATGAATCACTTTTCATGACTAAAAAACAAAATAGACTCCAAACCACTTTATCCACGTTATCCAAACCTCTCATCAGATCAAGAACTTTTTTTTAAAAAAAAAACTATTAACAGGCATAATACAGAATGGGTCCTTTCCTATGAATACTGCAGGCATAACAAAATCAACTCTATTTGTTAATCTGGCAATACTAGGTATAAATACCAGTCTTTATTCTTTTTTTAATATTTCTTTAAAGACTACATTCAAGTAAACAGAACTTTATCTTGAACATATCTAAAGCCCGCTGTGGGTTTTTAGAAGGGCACTGCCTGAGAAGAAGCCAGACTGATTCAAAGGAAATACATATTGGGGAGGAACATCAATGTATGGGGCTAGCCTAGGAATCACCCTAATCTGGGGGGGAAAATATCCCCTGAGATTTTCAGCAGTATATATCAAGAAAAGTTCATTTGCAGAGAGCAAATGCATTTGGACGGAAGTTCAATGTAAAATGTAAATGTAATAAAGCAACACTTGGAATCACCCAAATTCCAACGATGTTATAAATCTCCTGGGTGCACAGAGGCTCTTTCAGGGATTTCAGGTTGACAGAAGGAGACAGGGGGAGGGCCAGCAGCAGGAGACACTCGCTGCGGGCTGGCTGGCACTCGGCTGTGTGCGCTGAGACCCCCCGAGTGGGCGCGAGCCCCCGGCAGGGGCGGCAGCGACGCTTCCCTGCTGCTCCGGCGGGAAAAACCTCTCATGTCCCAGGGCAGTGCGCTCGGGGGGTTGCTGAACTTCAAGTCTGAAATCTCTAAACACAAATTTCCTCCAGCTGTTATTAATTGCTTAAGGACGCAGCTATTTGAATCTCTTTCTCATATGTCCAAATGGTGTCTGCTTAACTAGTTGAACTCTTGCCTATTCTCCCTCCCTGATGACAATTTAGTTTAATTAGACAGGTGCCATCTAATTGTGAGCTCTCTAAATTTTTAGACAGACTTAATTGAAGACTTCGTAAATAAGTTTATGCATATACCAAGCAACAAAAACGTAAGAAAGAGGTCAGAACAACCATTAAACTCTGGCTTAATGAACATGTTGCGCATTTTGTATAAGATCTTGAAATTACCATTATAATTATTTGTAATTTAACAACT